GATGGACATTACGGATTTCCTACAAGGACTTGGGCAACGTATGGGCTTGTCTCTGCCACCTGGGCTGTTGGTTCCACCTCCGCCTCCGCGTCCTGCAGCTGCAGCTACTCCTGTGAGTATCAAAGTTTTTTACTTTCGCTTGTGCTTTGCTTGTATGGCCTCTATCGTCCTAGATTAGCTATCAAAATAATCTTGTCTCATATGCAATCTTTTCTCCTTTGTGCAGTCTCCATCTGACGGTGGTTCGAATAATCCACCTCATGCACCTACGAATGATGCATCTGGGCCTTCACCACAGTCGCAGTGACCGAGATGAGTGCATGTTGTATTTTTTACATTTGTTGTTCACTTGGTGATGAACTTGTGATATACTTGTGATGCACTTGTGGACTTTGACGGACTTGTAAACTTATTTGGATGGACTTGAGCACTTATTATTATATATTGTGATGGATGTGATATGGGCGGATGGATGAGATATATATGCGATGGATGAGATATATATGTGATGGATGAGATATATATGTGATATATGTTTGTATGAATATATTTGTCATGATGGAATGCAAAAAAAATTGCCGTTTTGGGTCACTTTGCCGAGTGTTGCACTCGGCAAAGAACGCCTTTGCCGAGCGCAATGGTCACAACACTCGGCAAAGCTGGCAAAATGGGCGACCAGAAAACAGATTTTCCAGCTTTGCCGAGTGCTGTGACTATAACACTCGGCAAAGAAATTTAAAAAAAAAATTAACTTTGCCGAGTGTCTGCCGTGTTGGCACTCGGCAAAGAGTTTTTTTTTAAAAAAATTAAAAAATCTTTGCCGAGTGCCTAGAGGGGTGGCACTCGGCAAAGAAAATTTTCAAAAAAAAATAAAAGCTCTTTGCCAAGTGCCTTCCGGGTTGGCGCTCGGCAAAGAATTTTTTTAAAAAAAATAAAAAATCTTTGCCGAGTGCCTTGAGGGTTGGCACTCGGCAAAGAAAATTTTCAAAAAAAAAATAAAAGCTCTTTGCCGAGTGCCTGCCGGGTTGGCGCTCGGCAAAGAATTTTTTTTAAAAAAATAAAAAATCTTTGCCGAGTGCCTGCAGGGTTGGCACTCGGCAAAGCAAATTTTTTTTAAAAAATAAAAGCCCTTTGCCGAGTGCCTCACGGTTTGGCACTTGGCAAAGAATTTTTTTAAAAAAAAAAATCTTTGCTGAGCGCCTCACGGGTTGGCACTCGGCAAAGAAATTTTTTAAAAAAAATTAAAAAAAATCTTTGCTGAGTGCCTGCACGGTTGACACTCGGCAAAGTGACCGTCAACGGGACCGGCGCCGTGACGGTCGCTTTTCTTTGCCGAGTGACCGATAAAATACACTCGGCAAAGAGTGCTTTGCCGATCAATTTTTTGCCGTGTGTGCTTTGTCGAGGGCCGCACTCGGCAAAGCCTTTGCCGAGTGCAATATAGCCTTTGCCGAGTACCTCAAAGAACCTGAATCCAGTAGTGCCTTGTGCTATTCTACTTGCCTATTCCCCCATGTGCTGCCATTTAATTATAGACAAAACTTATTAATTTGTTGCATGTGAATCATCAACCTCTTGCAACTGACTCACTTTTATATCCATCGATCGATTTTCACTTACGATCCATTATTTGAAAACAAGCTAGGATTGGTTTCTCACAGAATGAAGTGTATATAGATTGTGAAAAAAAAAATGTTTTATTATTATTTTCAGACGTCTGGTTAAATTGTGAAAAAATACAAGCCCATAACAGTATGTGTTTGCTGCCGTTTACTGCCTAACAATTTTGTTATCGGTCTTCCAGTACAAAATCGTTCTAAGTGATGGTGAGCAAACTAATTGGTCCACAAGTGTTGGACGGTATGATAACCTGCCAGCAGCAACTTGCTTTTCTCTCGTCAACTGTCCATTCGTCATGCTCGTCAAAGGTGACTGCATTGCGGATTATATAGTACTCCCAATTTTAGTGCCTTAATTGCCACTAAATGTGACCATACAACCATACATCATTAAGATTTTGCATTAATAATAAATGTATACCATTCAGGCACATATTAATATTCTATGGAACAATGTTGTTTTAGCTTGTTCTTGATACTAGGCATCTTAATACAAACCAAGGTTTTAAATCTTGGGCTATATATAGCCCGGTATAGATGTTTGAGGCATGTCAAGCTATCTGCATTGTGTTCATGTACAATTTAGCGGCTATAGCCCACTGCCTCATTTAGTTCCGCTATATATTAGCTGCTTGAGATTGATCGGTGAAACAGAATGAACTGATTGGCTGTGATCGCATAACAAATTAATCCCTAGCAGCAAAACAGTGATCGGCAGAATTGTGTGTGACACTAACAAGGGAAGGCTATCGATCGTAGAAGTGGCCTAACACCAATCCATGCTGCTAGTAATAATCTGTGATTCGCATGCTACTAAAGCAAGATGAGTTCGAATGCTGGAGCCGTCAACTAGGTTTTTCGAGAAAATAAAATTTCTGACACCTCCCAAGCCTATATCCTTGGTGTGACGCACGCTGCAAACATGCATGAACGCACGGCATGACTCTTGGAAAATTGATCCATCGTGCTGGGTTGCACATGTCTGCATTTGTATTTGTAGTCTTGTTGATAGGACGGGTCACAGAAGCGCACGTCTAGCTACAATTCATCAGATGCACTGCCACTACATAAAGGATCACATGTGCTCTTCTAAAAAGACAAAATAGTAAGTAACGCCCGAGCTAATCTGGCTACTGGCAGAATATAAAAATAATCACAGAAAATCAAGTCGACTTTTAATTTGTACATCACATATCCTTGTCCCTGTTTTGTTTTCATATCTATGCGCCCAATCCCCGATAATTTTTTCAACACGTAACATTCTACGTCATGTTAGCTTCGCTTATAAGCCGTATTTTTTCAGCTAACGAACAATATTTTTCTCTCACAATAAATCAGCCAACAATACTTTCAACCATGCCTTATCAGCCAAGCGAACAGGACACTAGCCACGCCCTCGCTTTCTTGGTGCCGTTGGCTTGCTGTGTGTCTTAACCAAACCGTAACCGCCGCCCCTATATAATCAGTGATGGCAATTCGACCTCCAATGAAGTGTCACTGAGTGGAGCACCGATGCGTGCGAGGTGACTTGTTAGTGCACAGATGCATCTGCTTTGGCTGCATGGTCAAGGAGACACAGCCTAGAGGTGTAATAAGCGAAGTTGAGCAGGCCTGTTGCCACGGCGTGCTCTAGATGTTGGGTGAAATGTCTGAACTAGAGGGCACGTATTTATGCAGTGGCATTATGTTGAATACAAGTGAGCTCGAGCAACCTCATTTTTTGGAAAAAAAAAACATTTTGTTTTGAATTGGAATGCACGATGGGATTATTGAATAACCTACCCTGACTATGAGAACTCAGGTACATTGTCGTGCTATCATATTTAAGTATTGAGGATTTCTGTCGACCGTTACTAGTTTATGCACCACGGGTATAAGTAATGTATCTAGCCATGGTGCAGAGTCCGGTTCCCGGACAGAATACGCATCATGTCACAAAGTTTGACTCCAAGACGAATTGGAACGCATGATAGGATTATTGAATAACCGCCCTTGTAAGTTGTCAAAGCGATCATGCAAGAAGCTGTACCTCTCGTTGCAGTGTAGGGCATGTTTACAAGTCTCTAAAAAAACAAAGAAAATTTATTTCTAAAAAAAGAGAGAAGGGAGGAAAAAGTTTATTAGCAGGGTATCGACTGGAAACGGATGGATGCAGTGGCATACTGAACCATGTATGAGATTCAGTGAAACAGAATGAACTGATTGCCTGCGATCACATAACAAATTAGTCCCAGGAAGCAAAGATGGTTACTTTGGCATAGACACAGGAAAATCTTATCCGTACTTATGTATAACTAACGACTGTATAGGCAATCAAACCATTATTGCAATGTACCATAGTATGTTGACAACATTGACTAGTGTGGATCGGAGGAATTATTGTGTGTGACACTAACAATGGACGGTTGTCAATTGTAGAAGTGGCCTAATAACACCTATCTATGCTGTTAATAATCTCTGATTTGCATGCTACGAAAGCAAGATGAGCTAGAGAGGTAGAACCGTGAACTTGGTTTCCGGAGAAAACAAAATTTCTGAAACCTCCCAAGCCTATATCCTTGGTGTGACGACGCTGCAAACACGCACGCACGGCACGACTCTTGGAAAATTGATCCATCAGCTGCACTGCCACTACTTTAGTTCAAGGATCACACGTGCTCTTATAAATAGTGAGTAATGCCCGAGCTAATTAATCTGGATACTGGCAGAATATAAAAATATGTACCGAAAAGCAAGTCGACTTTTATTTTGTACAGCACTGCATTATTATCTTTAAGGATTAAGTCCACTTTTGGCCCTCAACTATTGTGTCGGTCTAATTTTAACCTTCAACTATAAACCCGTCTAGTACCGATACCTCAAATGTCAAAACCGTTCACTTTTAGCACCTGGACGGGGGCGAGGCTGTTTTGACCGACGTTGAGCGGTTTTGACAATGTGGGGCCCACGCGTCATCGACTCAGTCCCTCACTCTGCCGTCGCGCTCTGCCGCGCCCGCGCCGAGCTGCTCGCCGCGGCCGTCCGCCACCGCTACGCGCTCTCCGTCCGCTACCTTCACCCCCATCACCACCTATTCCCACCTCACAATCCCGCAACCCAACAAAGCAGCAGCACCACCACCGCGCGGATCTGACCTCCAACACCATCCAAGGAACGATCCAGGCTCCAGAGCCGCCGCTGCCGCCGGCCTACTTCGGCAACCTCATCCAGGTGGTGTTCACGGGCGTGCCCGCAGGGATGCTCCTGGGCAGGCCCCCCAGAGCTGGCCGCGGGCCTGCTGCAGAAAGCCATCGGCGTGGCGGTGGGCGCGCTGCGGAACCGGGCGTGCCCCGTGCGGTGCTGCCAAAGCTGATGTAGAGCACCGACGCCGCCGGCCGCGCGTCAAGCCACGACACGATTAGCTCGGCGGTCCACCGCCGCGCGGTTGCCTCTCCCGGCCATCGCGCCGGCATCGGAATCGGAACTGAGGAGGCACAGCGGCCCGACCGCCCAGACCTTCTTGCCGAGCTCCGCCGCGAAGCGCTCCACGAACAGTATCCCGTCGGCGGTGGCCTCGGCGACGAGCGTGTCACACCGGAACCTCTCCATGCCTGCAGGCCACTGGAAGAGCCCTTGCGCTGTAGCCCTGTTCACCACCACGGCGCGCACTGGGAAGTCCGGCACCTCGAAGGGTTCGAAGTCGTCGGTGGTGCGGTCGTAGACGCCACGCTTCTCGAGGACGTGCGCGGCGAGGATGTGGATGGGAAGTGGACCACGAGCCGCAGGATCCCGTGCCACCGCGCGACGCCGGTGGTCCATGGCATGCACGAGTCGGAGACGAGGCAGTCCGGCAGCCGGGGCAGCGAGCGGAGGTATGCGCATACGCCTCGAGCGGCTCAGCGAGCAGCCACACGGCGTCGTAGAACGGGATGAGGAGGGACATGTCGTCCAGCTTGTCGATCCTCTCGCAGCCCTCGGGGAGGCCGAGCACTGGCCCTGGGAACGCGAGCTCGGCGAAGTTGATGGCGAACCCCGCCCGCGCGGCGTGCTCCAGGACGGCCGCGTTGCTCGCGGCGTTGACGGGCGTCAGCACCGCCGTGACCGCTTGTGTATGTTTGTTACAGCCGCGCCAGGTCCAGCATCGGGATCAAGTGGCCCTGCGTCAGGATCGGCACGAGCACGAAGTGGGGAGCTCGCCGCCAGACTGGAGGCCGTCGCACTCTGCCGCGCCCGCGCCGAGCTGCTCGCCGCGGCCATCCGCCACCGCTACGCGCTCGTCGACATGCACGCGGCGCTCGCGGACTCCATCGAGCCGGTCGCCGCGCTGTTGCACCGCCTCCTTCGCCTGCAGCGGCCGAGTCGCCGGGGCTCCATTTCTCTCGCTGTCTCTCAAAATCGTCCGTGATTTTTCTTCGTTCGTGGATTCGTGTGTCCCCTGCTCGTGCCGTGAAGTGTGGTAAGCCTCCGCGCCCCTTTTCTCCCTTTCCCGTGCCCCGCCGGCGTCGCTGGTTGCCGCCATGGCCATGGCCGGCGTTCGTGTCGCCGCGTCCCCGCGCGTGCGCGCAGTCAAGACGTCGTGCCCTGCCCAGGCATGGGCTGGGTCGCGTCGCGGGTCCGCCGTGGCCCGTGGGTGCTGCCGTGCGCCCCCTCTTCCACTATCGTGGCCGGCTAGGCCAGAAATTTGACCGGCCGGTGCGTGCTCTGTCTCTGTTTTTGTGAATGGAGAAGAGAGCTCCAGGTCCTTGGCCTTGGCCTCCAGCTCCGTCAGGTACGCCTTCTTCCGCTCCCGCGCCTGCTGTGCGGACACGCGGTTCCAAAGCAGGCGCTTCAGCCGGTTCTGCTCCTTGTCCCCCGCGGTGCGGCCGCGCTTCTTCTCGGCCGCCAGAGGCTGCGCCTCCTGCTTGCCGTCCTCCTTGGGGCGCTCGTCCGCGCCCGACGAGGCCGACGCCGATGCGCCGCCCATCTCCGGCACCCGCCGTATCTCCTCGTCGCTCTCCACCCCTGCAGTGGCATGCGCGCAGCAGCAACCCGGGTGCCTGCTGCAGGGGCAGAGGCGGCTGTGGCGGGGACGGAGGAGGAGGAAGGACCGTCGCCGTCGTCGGCGGAGGTGGCTGACCGTCGCCTTGCCGAAGAGCTTGAACCCGGCGGCGTCGGCGTCCGGGAGGTGGCTGGCCATCTCTCCTGTGCGTGAGTCTGCATGGCGGTCAACACCAGCATGCCGGGTCAAAACCACGGACACGTCGGCATAAAACAACCACAAAAGTTGTCAAGAGTAAACGGTTTTTAAATTTGAGGTACCTAAATTAGACGGTTTTGTAATTAGAAGTTAAAATTAGACCAATAAGATAGTTGATGAGCCAAAAGTGGACTTAATCCTACCTTTAACTCCAATCTGGAGATGCTTCAAGAATGCTTCAAAGACAAACACATATCCCTATCCCCGATAATTTCTTCAACACGTCACATTCTAGCTAGCCATACTTCCATTGAAGTGTAACCGAGTGGAGCACCGATGCGTGCTAGGTGACTTACTGTTGCACACATGCGATGGCTTTGGTTGCATGCATGGTCAAGGAGACGACAGACTACAGGTGCAAGCGAAGTTAAGCATGCCTGTTGCCATGGCGTGTGCTCTATTTGTTCGATGAAATGTCTGAACTAGAGAGGGAACCTGGATATTGCCATATGGATCTGTATCCTCTCGTCTCTGGCGCCAAAGGAATGCATGCCCAAACTGTTTTGGGACCTGAAAAGAAATCTTAATGTCGAGAAGATGTAAAATCTCACATTCTGTGACCTTGTTTGTTTAATTAAATTATTTTTTGCATTCCATCGAAGAAGCTTTGGTACATAATATACTAGATACTGCTCTGCAGTAGTGCTCTGTTTTGATGTTCTAACGTTACTTGATCTAATCAAAAGTGCCCTATTCTGGGATGACAAGGTAATCGCATGCTGTGTTACGAATCCACTTTTAATCATGATATGTTTCACCATCGATCTATTTATTAAAGGGCAACCTCAAATCAAATACTGAGGCGGCTGTGTATGAATCGTAAGTTCAGAATTGTCGTGCAGACAAGTTGCATTATCTCTCCCAGTCACTTAAATTGTTTTTCTGTTCTAGCTGAGAACTAACATTTGTAATGTGGATGGACTCTATCAAATTGTACATGTATTGGTGGGATTATAATGTAAATTATTGTTCAAAGAATCTTCTTCACTTCGGATTGCACTGCTGCAAATTTGAGGTACTAGCTGATCATCTCTGCAGATGGATGGAGCTCGACTCCAAGGGTGTGCGGCATGGGATTAACTGGTGCAGCCACACAGCGAGGAAGTAGGAAAATACGTAGAAGTAGGACATAGCAGGGAAGTCACTGACGAGAGGATGATGAACACCCAGCAACTTGGTGGTGCTTGGACATACTGTATTCATATATTGTTGTCCTAATGAAGTGCTTCGAAGCAGCAGCTAAATTCCGAATGCCTCCCAGTCCCATACCTATGTTCTAATGACAACAAAAACAGAGATAAATTAACATCACCATCATACCAGTTGTGGCTCATTTAGAGATCTCACCGAGTTATCGCATTGCCATATCTTCCGGCTGCATCGCTTTTTATATATAGCCAAGCAATAACTTGTACTTTATTTATCAATATTCTTCATAGGCTCACACACCCCATTTAAGGTACTGCAACTACCTCAAGTAAATAATAGTCCTGGAATTTTAATTAGAAAAATAAAAAAAAATTGATAACTCGGAAGGAAAAAGATCACCTGCCAATTCTTGCCCATATATGTTCCCAATCTTGTCCGTCAGACATCTGGCCCATGTTCCCAATCTTCTCCGTCAGACGTTGTCCTCCAATACCCGGCATTCCTGTTCGTTGCACACTCGCGCTCTCGGGGCAATGATCCATCCTGTTTGTTGTCGGGCAAGAGCTGGGCGCGTTGCCATTCTTGTTCACCTGGCATAGAAAAATGTTGTCGTACACCAGTACATAGTACAACACGAGAGATTTTGACTATGGAACATTAAAATGGCCGTGACATGACTTTCTCGTGTATAATTTGACAATCTAGAGAATTTTGAGTGCTCTCCTATATTGTTTGTTGTACATACAATCAGTATGCAAAATACGGTGTCACAGCATAATAAATTATCAGATTTGCTGGTAATATGTTAGGCACAGATGGTCCAATCTTATTTCGGTGCTAACCACTTTTTGGTGGAATTAATCACGAGACACTCTAAAAACACATACCTAAAAGTTTTCAAAAAAATAAATAAATGATGCACAACATACATAGTGCATCTATGGATGTACATTATTACTGCAAGTGGTGAGATGTGAAATCACTTAAAAAATAGATACAAAAATGAAAATTTTCATGTGTGCATGTGCTAAACATAAAATTTCCTAGTGCAAATGCACCTGGATGGTGGAGGTGCTCCTGTGAAGGTAGTGAGTAGGGTGCCAGTTTAGGTTTAAAGGGCATGAGCTAGGGTTTTCTCGAAATAGGAGGTTGCACCAGAAGCTTCCCGATGCACGGGGCATGGCGAGTGGTGATCATCAAGGGAGGAGTGTGGATGTTTGAGAGATTAGCGGACAGCTATGTTACCTGGGCACTAGGGTAGCATGGGGTGTAGTGGAGGAATGGTAGTGCCCCTGGGGCTTTCCACTTCGCCATTCAAGGAGCCAACGACTAATGTAGGCTCTCCAAGGTAGCACGAGAAAGGAACTGGGGTGGGAAAAGAGAAGAGGGCATGGAGGAGACAGGGTCCGAGGGCAAGCGGTGCCTTCGGGCACTAGATCGAAGGTCTTGAGAAGGCTGCATCGTGGGCCCGACACCTCATGTGTTTGCGCACTTTGGGGGCGAACATAAGGCTGTGCAGAGCCCATGGAAAGAAGAAGTGGGGCGCAGAATAGGAATGCTGGAGAAGAGACCAAAGAAGACAACAGAGAAATAGTGGGACGATGAAGGGTTCTAGCTGGGACAAAATGGGCCTTCCGGTTGGCTAAAGAAGAAACCTTTTTTCTTTTTTATTTAAGCAATGTTTCAAGGAAGAAAAATTAGCTCCAAACCAAACATGATAAAAGCCAAGGCGCATACACACACTCATTCATAAAAACTATATGAGATGCACAAGATTTGTTTATTATGGGATGCACAAGATTTGTTTATAAGCTTTGCTTTGAAAGCAGATGAGGGACAAACTAATAGATTAGGTTTTAGGAAAATAAGAAAACATATTTAAGCATTGGCTTTATGTTGAAAACAAGTGATCTCGAATTCAACCTCATTTTTTGGAAAAACATTTTGTTTTAAAAGTGATGCTCAGTCATGGCTTTGACTTTGTCAAACCATAACAAGAAGGTTTCAAAAAAATTTCAAGTTAGAAATTTGAAATTAGGTGAGAGGAAAAGTTTGACTTAAGTTTGACTTGACATCACATGCAACACGCTTTGATCAAAAATTTTAAAAAGCTTGTATCTTTGCATTATATAAAAACAGGGGATGTCACAAATAAATTGACTTTGCTTATAGTTTTCCATTTATGTGTGCTAGCTATTTCCTTTTATTTACTAATCGCCATTTTTTCTAAGAAAAACTTTGTAAGAAATAGTTGTATGTTATAGAGGCCAGATTTATATTATCCTTTCTAAAAAAATGACTTCGTAGAATCCCTTGGTTCCCTAGTGCAATTTAGGAGCCAGCGTCATTCGTGTACTACTCAGCTACAGTACACACATGCAGGCAAGAGCCGAGCACTGAGAGAAGTCCCACCAAAGAGGCTCTAAAAGGAGCACTAGCTTGTCTATGATTTCATCCACACCGGCTCAAGACAAGACACACCGGCCATTGGAGGACAGAGCTCCAAACAAAATGACGCTTTCTAGGCCTCGTGGCAAGCACTCCCATTCCAAGCACATTCTTGAAGGCGTAATCGATGATAAACGAAGAAACTAAGGACCATGTGACCTCCTGCAGGAGTTGGTGGACATGGCCAACGTGATGGGTGTCGGGCGAGGGGTTGAGGTGGTCAGGGACCCCTGCGACTTCTCAGTCCTGAGATGCGCAGCCATCCTCGGGGACAGCAAGCGCCTCAAGCAGATCCTGCACAACATGCTTGGCAACGCCCTCAAGTTCACCGACAAAGGCCATGTCGTCCTCCGGGACTGGGCGACCCAGCCGATCGCCGGGAGCAGCGTCAGTGCTCCGTCAAGGTTTGCGCATCCTTGGCACAGTGGCGGCAGTTCCTTGGGATGCTTGTTCAGAGCAAGGGAGGTTCCTGGTGACCAGGATCATGTGCAGAGTGACCCCAATTTGTTGAGTTTTACTTTGAAGTGGTTGATACCGGCATTGGGATGTCTGTGTTTGTAAACTATGTTCAGGTTAACAAATGGCCAAGGCGGCACAGACTTGGGGCTTGGAATCGTGCAATCCTTTGTAGGTTACTACTAAAATATACTATATACATATATGGATCTCCTGTTCATTTTCTTTATAAAATTTTGGTTTTAATTGGATGATCTATGTTGATCTTGATCACAGGTACGTCTGATGGGAGGAGAGATTAGCATCAAGGACAAAGGGCCCGGAGAAAATGGAACATGCTTCGCGTTCAACATGCTCCTGAAGATAAGCGAGGTGCAACAACCTCAAGACATTGAAGGACCGTCAGTTCCATCAGGCACACTGAACCGCTCCAATTTCATAGCCTCAGCGTTTGAAGAAGCCAGCAACTTCAAGCGTGTGCACTGCGTTCTCTATGTTCATGGGTATGAAACCAGGAGGATCCTGCAGACATGAACCGAGAGCATTGGAGTCAAAGTGTGGCTGGTCGCCTGGTCTCGCAAGCCGAGTTCATCGGTTCCACCTTGGAGAAGGTACAGAGCAATACATGGCTACTGCTGCTGCCGACTCCGATGGAGCCGACAGGTGCTTTAAATGAGAGTCTCGAACCCATGTGCCGAGTTTTCGCCAATACGACAGGAAAGTCTAAAATCCTGATACCTCCAAATCCTATACTACATGTTATACACTTCTACTCATGTCTAATCTCCCTTGAGCCCAAACTGCCAGTGCATCTCATTTCCTCATCTTGGCTGAAGGAGACGCTCCTACTACTTGTGCTTCCTTTTTAAAGGCCAGGCAAAAGAACCAATAAAGAGATCCTCCCTGCTAATGCCAGCCTTCTACTGCCCTACTCCCTCTTGTGCTCCCTTTTTATTCTACTTCCCTATTCCCTCTTGTGCTGCGATTTAATTATGGACAAAACTTATTAATATGTTGCATGCGAATTATGAACCTCTTGCAACTGCCTCACTTATATATCCATCAATCGAGTTCCACTTACGATCCATTATTTCAAAACAAGGATTGGTCTCTCGCAGAAGGAAGTGTAGATTCACTACACCATGACATACATTTGCCTACAGTTATCTGTTGGTAAATGATGGATTTCAACCACATATTATGTGTCGGCAATTGTATAACTTTTTAAACTCAAGTCATCTGTCGGTAATAAGATCCTAAGACTACAAGTTCCCTACTAACACATAAACTGTCGGTAAAAGTTTCTAGACAGATAAAGTGTCGGCATAGCCTATACAAGGCCACTGTGCAAGTGTCGGACAAAGAGTAGTGTACATGTGACGGACGATAGGCTTAAAAGAATATCTCGCGTTGAAGTAGGTTGTGGGCGGGACCCAAATATTGAGCCCGCGTGCAAAATTGCTAGCTAGCCTAGAACTCTCTCCCACGTCCCCACACACCCGAATAGAGAGAAAAAACCCACACCCACACCGCCACCCCCAAGCGCCCGCCCGCCAAAGTGCCCGCCGCCACCCACGTTCGTCCGGTGGGAGGCGCGTTGGAGCCCCACCGTGTCCCCTGCCACCACCCGCGCTGCAGCCCACCTCTTCCGCTGCTGAGCGGCTGAGCCCCAACCTCCGCTTGTGCAAGTCCTGACTGCGTGGCCTGTGCAAGCCCGGCACCAAGCTTGACGTGTTGCTGCTGCTCCTGCACTCCCACCACCTGGTTGGTTTGTCCCCCACCTGCTCAGCTCAGATCCATTTGCCTACGGGACTGGATCTGGTGGATGTGGCAGCTGCAGCGCCCATGGCTTCCTCCACTGGGAGGATCTGCTGATACATCAGGGTTCGAGCAGCAATGGGAGTCCGAGTGCGAGCCAGTGCACACCACGCCCAAGGAGGCCCTCATGGCACCACGTCCTGGCCGTGGCCCGTGGGGCTGGAGACCTACGATGAGCACAAGCTCGACAGCTCTTCACCTCAAGATTTAAATTGGTAATCTTGAAATTCCAGCATCCTCAAGTCATCTTATTGCTAAGTGGCCTTATTGAGAGCATTCTTTCTTTGCTTAATGTGTGCTGCTGAGGACATTATCAATCTGAAGATTACATTTTTGCATCTGAAGCATCTTTGTTATACCTTTATTGTCGCACAGACTTGAACTAATAATCCATGAATTCTATATAACAGATGAATTATTTTTCTTCCTATATATAGTACCCAATCATAACAGATACTTAATGTTGTTGGTAGTCTGATGCCAGCAATAGATACGTGTTCACTTCATTCATTAAATCAAGCAGAAAAATTGTTGGCCCACCGGCTCAGGTGAGTCGACCACTCACCAGTCTTGCCGACCACGGCTCAGGTGAGTCGACCACTCACCAGTCTTGCTGACCACGACAAACGTTGTCCAACCACATACCAGGACTAGATGGATAGAGTTGTATATATAGTTTGCCGCTGCAACTCAGTAAAGAGAGTTCAGACTTGCCATCTCCTATATAGAGCTCCGGCCAACGCTGGTGTCTCTGCTGTGTGTATGCTCTGTTCTCCCTCACTTCTTCTACCTCTAGCCATAGTGTGTGGTTGGACAACGTTTGTCGTGGTCGGCAAGACTGGTGAGTGGTCGACTCACCTGAGCCGTGGTCGGCAAGATTGGTGAGTGGTCGACTCACCTGAGCCGGTGATCCTGTGGGCCAATAAGTGGTATCGGAGTCGTACAAGCGCCATCGTCGGACTAATCGCTGGTGATGACGGATGGTTCAGAGATGGGCGACAGCAGTGGCACTGATGTGGCTGCCCAGCCACGACAGGAGGTCGTTGTTCGTACGGTGCGGGAGGTCAGTGGCACCAGTTGGCCGACGCTGACTCGCACCAACTATGGAGAGTGGTCGATGACCCTAAAGGTCAAGCTCAGAGCCCGACGGCTCTGGAATGCTGTTGACAAGGGCAACCAACAATAAAGAAGATGATATGTCAGCGTTGGAGGCTATCCTCGTTGCTATACCGGCGGAGTACAGGGAGCCATTGAGGGCGAAAAGCTCTGCTAAGGATGCGTGGGAGGCTATTGCGGCAATGAGCGTCAGTTCCGACCCCGCAAATAATGCGATGGCCCAGCTTCTAAAGTAGGAGTATGCCAACCTCAAGTTCAAGGATAGTGAATTGGTGGAGGACTTCTCCCTCTGTCTGCAGACGCTCATCAGCAAGATGAAGAGCCACGGCGTCACCATCGACGAAGAGGAGGCGGTCTCCAAGTACCTCCACTCCGAACCGACAAAGTACATCCAGATCGCTCTCTCCATAGAGACGATGCTGGACTTGTCCACCCTCACCATTGAGGATGTGACAGGCCATCTACGGGCGGTGGATGAGCGCTTGGAGTAGGCAACAACAACGAAGGACAGCGGCAAACTGTTGCTGACAGAAGAGGAGTGGGCTGCTCGGAGGAACTCTAGGGTAGCCTCCTCTCAGCCGTGGTGGCGATGGCAAGCGCCACGGCAAGGCTTCTTCGGAGAAGAAGAAGTAGGTCGACCCCAATGCCTGCCGACGCTGAGGGAAGACGAGCCATTGGCACAAGAGTGCCCAAATCATAAGCAGGAGAAGAAGGCTGAGGCTCATCTAGCGCAAGATAACGATGAGGATAAGGCCACTATCCTAATGGCGACGTTCTGTGCACTGCACGACGTCGAGGCCAAGGAGAAGGAAGAGGTGATGGTGGGCGAAGGATCTGGAAAGGCCCTGAAGGCTATCAACCTCAATGAACCGCGTGCCCAAGTCAACCTCGGATGTGTGGGCGGCAAGCTGAAGCAGCGGTGGTATCTGCACTCTGGTGCCAGCAACCACATAATGGGCTCTTGGGCAGCCTTCTCTAAGCTCAACAACGATGTTGACCGGCACGGTGAAGTTCGGTGACGGCTCAAGGGTGGCAATCCAAGGGCGCGACACCATCATCTTCAGGTGTCAAAATGGGGAGCACCACGCGCTAATGGATGTATATTACATCCCGCAGCTGCGTTCAAGCATCATCAGCATTGGCTAGCTAGATGAGCGCTGTAGCGAGGTACTGATCAAGGACGGAGTCCTTAGGATCAGGAACCGGGAGCAACGACTTCTCACCAAGGTGAAGAGGTCCCAGAACCGGTTGTACCTGCTTGACCTGAAGGTAGAGCAGTCGGTGTGCCTGGCGGCAAGGCACATCGGGGAGCCATGGCTATGGCATGCCCGGTTCGGACATCTCAACTTCGACGCTTTTGGTCAGCTAGAGAAGATGGTCCGAGGGCTACCCCACATCGAGCACGGAGGTGAGCTGTGTGACAGCTGCCTGGCCGGAAAGCAGAGGAGGTTGCCATTCCCAAAGGCGGCCAAGTATCGCGCAGAGGACGCTCTCAAGCTCGTCCACGGTGATCTCTGTGGGCCGATCACGCCAGCCACAAACGGTGGTCGGCGGTACTTCCTCCTACTCATGGATGATTGCAGTCGCTATATGTGGCTGCAACTCCTGACGAGCAAGGACGAAGCGGCAGCGGCGATCAAGAAGTTCAAGATGCGCGCAGAGGCCGAGAGTGGCAAGAAGCTCCACGTGCTGAGAACAGATCGCGGTGGCGAATTCACTTCGGTGGAGTTCGCCACGTACTGCACGGATCATGGTGTGGTACAACACCACACCACGCCGTACTCGCCATAGCAGAATGGCATGGTGGAGCGATAGAACCAGACGGTGGTCGGCATGGCACGATCTATGATGAAGGCCAAAGGTATGCCGGCAAGGTTCTAGGGTGAGGCGGTGACCACGGCGGTGTTCATCCTCAACCGCGCTCCCACCAAGGCCTTGAAGGGCAAGACACCATTCGAGGCTTGGCATGGACGCAAGCCGAGCGTTTCCTTCCTCCGGACATTCGGCTGCATCGGCCACGTCAGGAAGACGAAGCCGGTCCTAACCAAGCTGGAGGACAGGAGCACACCGATGTTGTTCCTGGGCTACGCGGAGGGTATGAAGGCGTACCGGCTCTATGACCCACATGGAGACAAGGTACTTGTCTCACGCGACGTCGTGTTCGACGAGAAAGTGGCTTGGGACTGGAACAATCCAAGCATGGGGGAAGTTGGTGGCTTCACCAGCACCTTCATCGTTGAGAATTTAGTCATCCACGGGAGTGGAGACGCTGGGGAAGAGGTGCCGAGCACTCTAGGAGGGGTGTCAAGCACTCCAGCAATAGAGTTGAGCACTCCAGGAGAGATGTTGAGCACGTTGGGAGGGGTGCCGAGCACTCCAGGAGTGGAGCCGGTGGTCCTGCAGTGGTGGCGACCACTACAAGACGGGTGCCGAGCACTCCGGGAGGGGTGCAAACCACTCCAAGAGTGGTGACAAGCGGTCCAGGAGTAGTGCCAAGCACTATAGCTAGGGTGCCGAGCACTCCAGGTGCTATGCCAAGCACTCCGGTGGGACAGGGAATCCATCGACGCCGATTGAGTTCGCCTCACCTCTAAGTAACA